TATGCTATAGAGAGACCTTTTTAAAAAGCCTGGCTTTATCAGTCTCCATTCTAGAAGGTTTTGAAAACCCAACTGGATAAAGCTTAGAGCAGCTTGGTCTGATCTCATAGCTGACCTTCTCTGAGCAGGAGCTTGGATTAGAGAGCTCCTGAGCTTCCTCGCAACAAGAAATTATCCTGTGATCGGGTTAAATAACATACAAACCCAAGAATTAAAAAAGAAAAAAAAATACACACTCCCAGGGCTATTTGATAAGGAAGCTATGCATAACCCTATAAAGAACATCCAAATACTAGAATTTGAGTATAAATTCAAATTACAAAACACCACAAAAATTATTAACTCAAAACTTTTCCTTAAAGCCAACTTAACAGTTCAACATGATCCACAAAGTACCTTTACTGTAACATAACTAAAATATTTAAGCTTGTAGAAGTAAATAGTTTTAATACACAAAGTGAATAATCTACTAAAGAGATTTCTGCATACAACTTTTAATGAAAACTCGGTGAAGGAACATGAGCTAGCAGCAAGATTTTTGTTTTTTCTTTGTTGTACAGCATTGGATTTACATGCAGCATTATTAAATGGTAAGCTATCTAGACAATAACATATCTAAGATATAAACATCATTTGAAATAAGTCCATTTTCACTAAGGCAATGAGACAAAATTCCCTATTACGAACTTGTTTGAATACAAAAATAGGAATTTTAACAAACAAGCAACAAACACACACATATATATTGTCTGATCAAAACATTATGTAATAGAAATTCCAATTTTATGTATTACAAGGAAAAATGAGGGAACAGGTTCAAGTCACATTTGACAGAAAATTGAAGACTATCAAGATTTGTCCCAGAAGAATCCTCTTACATTTTGTTTCTGAAAGTGTGTTTTATCAGCTTCACAAGGTGCCAAAAATGGAATAAAGCTTGTTATTAACAAATGTATTCTCTTCAACGGTGAAAAAGTTCACCAAACAGTTGCCAAAAAGCCCCAAGCAGCAGTTGCAGAATTTGCCAGATATACTACTCAGTTTTAATATTTGAATTATATTCTAAGGCTGAATGAGCTTAGTATAGTATTTCTTTGGACTCATTCAGACGACCAGGAATTGTATACTATGCACCATCAGGATTAAAACTTTTATTTAAAAGCCAGTCACATCAGAAGTAGTTAAAATTTTTTAGCAACTTTTTTCTCTCCAAACCCCATTTTATGATCAACAGTTGTTAGTTGGAAAAAAAAAGAAAATCACAACTTAAAGAATGTGGAAAATATTTTTTTAACAAGGAAGATGTCTGAGGAAACTAAGATTTACTTAAGAATGAAAACAGGTACTTTTTTTAGTCTTAATTATCCTAAATATTAGATTTGATTAACTAGCTTCTGTTAGAAAAAAGCCTTCCTGGACTAGCTATCATTCAGAAAATGACTGATCAGTGTCTCAGCCAAGATTTTTAAAAATTCTAATGCCAGGTTTAGGCTACATTTTACTTTCATTTGTTCTGGCAACATTCACTCATGAGAGCAGTGCTCAGGCTATAGTATATTATAGGATGTGGGAGCTCCCAAGTAATATTACTTCATAATTCAACATTAACCATCATAGATAGTTTAAAAAAAGGCAAGATGTTAAATTACAAGAGTTTATCTTCTGTGCAAGGCTCGTAAATCTTTCATATCCTTATCTCTCAAGCGGTTGACTAGAGTTACACTGCTTGTGAACAGCATGAGGACTTTCCAGATGAGGATAAATTGAAGCAACTAGGCTTCCGCTTTATTATGCTCATGGGATATGAAAAGGATTTTAGACATATACTGGAGAACATTCATTTCAATATTTACAATTATTTACTGAAATAATAAGAAATTTGAGTACTAATAACAAAACTCTGCTGACTTAAGTAATGCTGTTTTTTGGCTTTTGGGTATAAGTCGTCAGAAAATAACTATAAATGCCAATGTAGTCTACACTTATGCTGCTGAAATGACAGGCCCCAACTACTTACATTAAGACATAGAAAGCGCAGAAAAGAACACTTGCAGAAGAGGACATATATGGCCAGTGAGGATGTGTTGTAACAATATCAAATTGAACATTTTTCAGGTGTGCAGATTAAAACTGACAAGTAGTAAGATGTAGACTAAAGCATGACCTCCACACCTGGTGATTTCTGACCTTGTTAACTCCTGTCAGACCCTTCCAGTTCATACAAAGACATGAAAACCCCTTACCTATATCACTGTTTTGACAGCAGCCCCCTTCAAACCTTCTACCCCTGTCCTCTGCCACAGAGACACCTGCATGCATCTGAGCTTGCCGACCCTCTCAGCAGCAACGTGGCTCCCACCTCACCAGCCACCCTCGCCGTGCAGAGCTGCGGCACCTCATCCTGCCCACGAAGCTCCAACGCTTGCCCCATGGCTGCCCAGGTGTCTGCCGTGCAGCCCCACGCATGCCTTTCCTGTGCTCCAGCCTACACTGAGGACCACTCCTTTTGGTTCTTCACAGGATAAGTATGTACTGTCAATGCCAGAGCACAATATACCTTTGCTATTTATGGAAGAAATGAACTTTCTATGGTAGTGTTATTTCAGTGAAGCATAGCCAGCCTCAGTGACTCTCATGTCCCCTACAGCTGAACTCATTGGAGGGAAGACTACAGTGCCTTTTCTTTTGAAAAGCACCTAGTGATTGATCAAAAGCTCCTGGAGTAAAAGCAAATATGTAAAAAGTATTGCCATGCACAAGACAACACTCAAATGCTCTTCCAGCATTACTGTCCTCACCCAGAAGCACTGGCTAAACTTTCCCTTTGCTGAAACGCAGGGTGCAGGAGGAAGAGGCTCAGTGATCGGCGGGAGTTACCAAGGTGCACAAGGAAAGGGCTCAGTTCAGCAACCCCTCTCTGTCACACGTGGAGTGCCACCAACACACAGCATTATCAGAAGGGCAGGGAACAAGGAGGAGCACAACCCTTTTCTGTACCCCTGACACATGAAAAACCCAGGGAGTTCCCAATGATTGGGGTGTAAGGTTTTAAATTTAATTTCTTTTTTTTCTTGTAAATCAGGGTAAGTAGACTGCCTGCAGACAGCACCCTTTCAGCCAGCACAAGCAGCTAGGCTTGTCTACCTAGTTGCCAACTTAGTATTATGAAATGCCTCCACAAAAACATGCCCATTTAACCAGCACTAACACAATCCTGGAGGGTTCACTTCCCATCCCTTTCATGCATGCGTTTCATCCATCTTCATTTATTTGTAATAAATAATCTTGATTTATTTATAATAAAAACCTTATCTAGTCCAAAATTCAATTTATTTCAAAGGGTTTTAAAAATTTGCATTTTCTTCAGTAATAGCTCACTAACAACCCTGAAGCTACCATTAGCAAGACAAAACTCTGGTCTTTTGAGAATCATCATGAGAAGTGACCCTCAAAATGCAGAGTTATTGTTGGAAGACCAATTCTAGCTAGTGGTATTTAACAGGATAAAAAACTAACAGCAGGCACTCACACTGTATACATGAAGTAGATATAAAAACGCAAAGCACGTAGAAGTTTTGTAACCTCTATTCTACACCATCAAAAATTACAACTGGGTAGTTTCAAAACATATCTTCGGTCACGCTCAGTGCAGAGCAAAGCGTAGTTACTATATTGGCATACCAGAAAAACATATTTATATGTGCAGAATGACAAGGGAGATCTTGCAGCTATCATTTTTTAAAAAAACGAACACCACTACTCATGTGTGGACTTTATCACAACTCCTTTTCACAAAAATATTGATAGAGAATTCCAACACACAAACATTTTAAATGAAGTCTTTACAGAACACTGATAGATGTGCAACATTTGTAATACTCCTTCAACATGCACATAGCACTCTTACAAAGCACCATTTCTTCTAAAACACATAATAGATGAACTGGTGACAGTTGAAGTATAAAAATAAACACAATCACTCTGTTAAAAAATTAGTGCAAAAGTATAATCTTTTTCTCATTTGAAAATGTATTATTTTTCCAGATACGTTTAATAGCATTATTCTCTTACAAAAACTGAGAAGTCCTGCACAATTCCAATTCCATCTCTGCTCATTCTGAATTGCATAACATATCTGACGTCCTATTATTCCCCAACCTTTAATCAAGAGCTCTTAAACTCTACTTAAACTGTATTACACAATGTTTAAAAAAATAAATCTAGTATTTCTAGCTCTGTTCTAAGTTTATTAAATGTTTCAGCTACTCTCCATGGTCTCAATACATTATGTGTTTTACTGAGAGTGACCCATTTACAGTCATTTCTATATCCATCTTAACCCGTTATTTGTATCATTAAAAAAAAAAGTCCTAGCTTTCTTAAAGAACAACAGAGCACAGCATTCCTAGTGCAATGAATTATAATTCAGTCTGAAGCAGAACTACATTTTTCTCGTATTTCAAAAAGAAGTTGAAAAACGTTTTCAACTGTCAGAACTGTTCACTTAAAGGCTGCTTTAAACTTCACAATCCAGAAGTGTTGTAAGAGTCCCTTTTCTTCCAACAACTCGTCAATGAAAGGCTGACATCCAGTCCTATCAGTCATTTAAAGAATGTGTGCAAAAATAATTTAATTGGAATATCCTATGAAGCAGTTAATTTTACTAAGATCTCAGACATTGAAATAATGCTTCCTGTTAAAGGGACACCTGCACTAACCAGTGTTCAAGGGCTCACGTTAAGCTGATTAAACTATAAAGCAACACTCCCCCAAATCTTATTCCAAGAGATTTTCTCAGCCATGTTTTTTTTTTTTCTTAAAACAAAGATTATATGGCAAATCTGAAAACTAGTCCAGGGTTTTTTTTGGGTTTTTTTGGGCAGGGGGGGCAGGGGAGGTTGTGTTTAGGTTTTTTTCCCCACACAATTATGGGAGAAGGTCCCTTTAACAAGGAAGGAGACAGGTATCACTTAATCAGGATGTGGGAATGGAATCTGTACCTATGGGTAAATGGCAATGCGTTCTGGGTTGGTTCAGCCCTTGGTTCTGAGTTCTGCGTCACTTCCGGCGTCGCTCTCTCATCATCTGTCCCGTTAATACTTTCCGGCGTTAAAGGAGACTGAATATCCCCTCCAGCTGATTCCTTAAGTAAAACAAACAACACATTAAAATTACAAACTGACCTGCTCAGGAAGGTTATGTGCGTATAAGCACTAACATTAATTTTTACATGATACACAAATTTCAGGTAGTATTAATGTGAGGCTCAGATTTCCAGCATCCCTCATGGTCATATTTCATCATGTGAACTGGATTTAGAAGTATATTACCATAAGATTCACATTATCTTGTACAAAACACAACTGACCTATGAATTATTTGCAAGTATCCAGCCTTCTGCTTATTACAGACCTCTCTCTCTTACCTGGTATTACATTCATCCCTCATCCCGCTACACAATAGGTGACTACTGACACCCAAGATTCTTCTCTTACTTCATATTCTAACACAGTGAAACAAACAATTCTGATATTTGTTTCAAAATCTAGCTTTCATATTGTTGTATTAACCAAAGTGAACAGTAGAAGGGACATTGGTGGTGCTTTCACAGTTTCATGTATGAGCCATCTGTAAAGAACACTTGTTCAGCAGAGTCCTTGCAAAACTTTCATAGGCATGTTAGCCTGGTCTAGCTCTTGCTGGTCATGGTATCATCTGGGGAGGAGAACACTCCAGCTACACCCAAGCAGCTTCTGCTACTGCTATGTAACTGGACACCTGAAAAACTTAATGGCAGCCTCCCAGCAGGAGGCACTGGTGCGGTTTTAATAACCGCATGCCAACACGTACATTTATGTTTTGGCCAACAAACACCATTTGCTAATTTCTAGTCACTGAAAAGTACTTCTTTTTTATACAAACAAAGTACACCCTTGTAGTCCACATCCTAAGTTAGAACATCATAAGCTTTTCAGTCCCTGTATGTGGTTTAATTTTAGTATTTTCTTTCCTATTATATTCTTTTTCAAGTAATGATTTTTGCAGGAGATAAGCAGTCATATAAGCCAAGTAGCTCATCTCAATTTTAAAATGTCTTAGTAGGCTTTTAGTAATCAAGTGTTAACATTTAAGATAGAAGAATTTAATGAATAGAGTTCAATGGATGTCATGGAGGGGTGTCTATTCAGCAGAGGACTGGTTGAATTACAGTACTTCCAAAAGCTAAGCATCTCCTATGGCCACACAGCCTTCTACCATCTGCATGGAGAACAGATAAACTGCTATTTGATGTTATTAAACTGAAGCACAAGCACAGTCTCTGGAAGGCCAGCAGCTCCTCTTCCCAGCTCTTTGCCACTCTGCATAGGAAGCTGAAGAACAGCAATCTCAGAAGGAACTGCAAGGTATCTGAAGATGGTCATGATCTTATAAGATCAGGGTTTAATCTTGAGCCTCCATTTGTAGCCTTCAACTAGTTTACAAGAATAAGGCTTTTTGAAAGCCAACACTGAATCTGATCGTCCATCTATAGGAAATGTTGTCCTTGACTTTGAGACTTAACTAGATGGAAAAACTCCGTTCTTTTACAGAAAGTAAGACCTGGCTGTCATCGTCACCTTCCACACCTTTCTGGAGTCCCTTAACCAAAAGTATTGTTGTTCAACATTTTCATTGTACTTTAAATTACATTAAGCATTTGCAGCACAACAATTGTCAAAATTTTGCTTTTATTCTGCCATATTTCTCACATAGTGAGAGATCTGTATCTCACTCTACAACTTGAATTAGTGGGTGATACAACATGTTAATACTGACTTTGACTTCTACTACACTTAGCGTTCATCAAGTTATACAATGCACATGCACCAGTGTCTCCATTCTGCACCTTCTTATTAAATTCCTACTGATTAAAAAGCAGAAATAATTAGCTTACACTGATTTAATTCCACAGATATAAACTGTTATTTATAATACAAATGTAATTTTTTTAATTATATGAATGCAAATTGTTACCTCTTTTCAGGAAGAATCTTGTTATTTTACACGCAAAACTATTATTTTAAGTGTTAATACTTTAAAAGTCAAAATTAAATCTTGATTTTTACAGAACAATTTTACTGAATGAAACTGAACTGAAATTAAGTGTGAAAGGGGAGCAAAGTTGGCAAGATAATCAGGCAAATGAATTATTTTATACAAATTACATAGTTTTGTCTATTATTATTCTCTGATTTGATAAACAGTTTCCACTGACATTAAATGAAAGCCTTTATGGACCCAAGAGTTTCTCTTTTATTTCCTCCTCTTCCCAAACTACACTAGATATTCTAAAATATACATACCACATCCTACAAAATCTGGATGGCTTGTATCTTTAAGATAAAATTCCTACATCACTATTATTAGACACATAAAGCCAGGGCCTACTTATTAAAATGTTTTAAGTGTGAATGCATAAAAATTGCTTCAGTAGAAGAAAAACAAATGTGCAAGTTCCATTTAGGCTTATTTTTCAGTAAAGCACTTTCATAGACTTCTAACGTGAATGAAATCCAAGTGACAAAAATTAATGCAGACAAACATCACAGCCTATGTAATACCTAAAAGTTCACTGCCTGCAAATTCATGAAGGGCTGATTTTTTATGTACGAGAGAAGCATCAGATTCTAGAATGTATTTCTTCCACCAATAACACAGGTTAATCAGTGCTCTCACACACTCACAACTACCCATGCCTGATAAACGATTTATTTGCAGCCAACTATAATGAAGCTGGCTATGAATAAAGCACCAAAGGCAACAGAAAAAGCCACTTACACAGAACAAACCTTTTACAAATGTTTACAAATAATATGTTCCCATTTTATATTAATTAGAGACACTAAAATAGTTTTAGAAAGATCTTTATGAGATGTTCATATGTAATGAAGTTTTTATTCCATATCATTGTAACTTCACACATCCACTCCAGACTTTACAGAACTGGGAAAGAAATTGCGGTCATCTTAAAAAGATATTTTCACCCTTCCCGTCTAGCTGGGAGAGCAGCTTAACTTAGTTCTAATATTCAACTGTATAGACACTACATGGAAAAAAACCCAGTGCTTAAACTGAAAACGACAGTCTTCCTGTAAATCAATGATGTATTTTAAGGCCTAATACTTCCCAGTCACAACAGCCACAAATAGACATCTCATGCATTTGAGAAGAAAGGATTAACAGCTCTCCTGTGGTATAAAACCACTATTGTATCATATATAGGTTTCTGGAGGGTATTGAACTTTAAGTCACTCACCAGTCCTGGACTCAGACATGGACTGAGGATTAGTATTTTTCTACGTGACAAGTAAATGTGAGAGTCTGACTCAGGTATATTTTGCTATTTAAGAGTTTGTCAGACATCTGCATGGTCTAAAGGAGCTCTGGTGCTACTAATGAGTATGCAGGACTCCAGTGATGCCAAGCAGTATAAAAATAACAGTGCCTACAGCATATAAACAAAACACAATGGAGAGGAATTCATCAAAAGATGCCATAAATTTAAAAATATTATAAACAAAATGCATGGACTCACAAAAGAGTCTTTAAAGTAAAACAAGCAGACTTCACAGCACAGATCAAGCCACCTTTTAATGGTGGCTAAATACGGAACAGAAAAAAAGAAGTAGCTGGTTCTAAAATCATGAACAAACCAAACCAATTCCAGCTTGTTTTCTTATTAAGTGTTATACTGTTTTCTCATTAAGTATTCCATATACTTCCCTGGCGTCGCTGTTCTTCATAGTGCTTCTCTGTTCACTACTGACTGCCAATGGCATAAGTCTGCCAGCTACTGACTCAGATACCATAACACGTGAAACATTTGTTCCAGTATAGAAATTCACATAACCTCCCAGAAAGTTACTTTTGTAAGTAAGTTTTGTACTTCTACAACATAAAGTAAGTAAATTTTGTACTTCTACAAAGAAAAAGCCAAAAGATGATAAACCACAACCATTTTGCCAAAACCAACCCATTCCTTGCACAAAAAAATGTTGTGATTCTAAAACTTCTCAGGCAATAGATATTCCTAATAGTCTGCATAGGAGGGGCTCAGAATCGCAGACAAGACTACTTTGAGTAAATTACTCACCATACAATTTCAGAAATTATCAGAGCTCTTAATCTGAAATGACTGGAGTAAAAAAATCTAAGGACAGATTCTCACTTAAAGAAGAAGAACTAAGGTTCAGACTCCAGTTGGTTTTAAGACTGATGGGGTATGACTGCAAACTGCACAAACTGCTCCATTCAGTTCTGTACTTGAACCTAATTAAGCTTAGCTTAAAAAAGAAAAAAAAAAAAAAAAAGGAGGGGGGGAAGACACAGATTTCAGGCTATTGCTTCATATGGCTGAGTGAACTCCAGATCGAAGTGTTGCTCTTTCAGTGCACAGGCAAGCCTTGTAACTGAAACTGGACCATGGGTGGCTTGTCACTGTACAATCCAGGAGTTTATGACATGAGCAAAATAATTCCCTGTATTAAAGGATGAGTCTGGGAAATAGGAGGTGGCACAGCAGGGGAGCCCATATTTTAGTTTTATATAAACAAGGTAAGAGCATTGCAAAGCTTTATTACCTAAGGCTGATTAAAGGGACACCAGATGGGGTACCTGTGTGCATAGGTGGTCTTAGAAGTACCAAAATAGACAACTTCTTTCTAGACTGAAGCCTCCTGATATAACAGATATAGATAAAGTGTGTCTTATTATATGAATCCATCTTAATATAGATGGGTTGAAAGTACAAGTTCTCTGACACAGAAACAATGCTTTCCTCTTCATTTCAGGAAAGCACCATGCACTCGGTGGGACTTACACATAACAAAGCACCACCTCTCTTGTAATTTGTTGTTCCAGGCCACTGTCTTTCTCTGGACAAGTTACGTTCTTTTCACAGTCAAGGTAAATGGGGATTTTATATATTATCCGATATTCTGGGAAGTTAAAGCAAAGCCCGCTGGTAAATAGGAGGAGAACAGGCAGTATTGAAGAAACAGTAAGAATGCAGCATTTAAAATTAGCAGCAGCATAGCTCAGGGGAAAAGGAACTCCTGCTATTAAGTAATTGCAAACTGGGCTATGTATTGTTTTCTTTCTACTACGTGCTTTACACACACACATACACAAAAGGCAAAGAATATATGCCATCAGATGAAACAGTATATCTAAAAAATACTCAACACAGAACTACTACTTCCTGGCCATTGAAGCACTCTTCTGGTGGAAATATCTAGCCAAATAGTACAAACACTTTGCTAAAGCGTATAACACCTTAGAGAAGTAGCCTAACTTCAGTGGATTTTAGATAAGATCGTTCTTAAGTTTTAACATGTCTAACTCTGGTAAGTACTTGAACTACAAATACATATTCTATTTCTGAGATATTTCTGTTCTTATCTTTTGTTTTCTATTTCTCCTTAGTTTCACAACAAATTTTTGCAAGACATTCAGAATTGAAACTCACACATACCAGCAGTATTTGCAGGGTTACATCAAACAATAGTGAACAGCAAATACCTTGTGCAGGGTTTTGTTACACTAGTTGTAGAGATATTTTAATAAAGATTCAATCTGTAGGGACATAATGAATGCAGAAAAAAACACATCCTTTTTCTCTTTTAGAATGGTGTGGCAGAGAGGGTGAGGAATGTACCATATCTGGTACTTCAATTAACTGGTATATAATAAGGGCATTTTTAAAGCAGTACCAAGAGAAATATAACATTTTATTTAAGTTTGACACTTTTTTTTTCCAGTTTTAATAGGCAGTACCTTCCTACCTATTATTAATTTAATGCAGAAGGATATCTGCAAGTCCAAGACAGCAGAGGGGTAGACACTTGTAGCTAACCGGGTTACTGTTATAGAGCTCACTACTCACATGCTACCTCCCAATGCCTTCCCTGTCAAAGCTTCCTAAAAAAGCCAGGTTCCTGTGAAGTCTTGACTGGCCACTGAAATAGAGCTCACTACTCACATGCTACCTCCCAATGCCTTCCCTGTCAAAGCTTCCTAAAAAAGCCAGGTTCCTGTGAAGTCTTGACTGGCCACTGAAAATATCTCCTTCCTCTTTTACTATGCCTCTCTGCAAAGGATCACT